ATGCTGTGGTCCAGTGGCTGGGGCATTCTACCCGTGGGCCGCCCTCAGGCAAGGTGGTGGAAGGTTGGAAAGGTCCGAAATGTTCTAACCAAGGGAGTGACTTGGTCAGTGCTGGGTCCTACAAAGATTCCTCTGGTGGCTGTGTGGACAACCTCAAGGGCGGTAATCCACTCACCCTGGACATGGTCTCCAGGTGTGCGCACATGGGTATTTGGGCAGACTGGCTGTTCCAGATGTGGGACATAAGAAGACAGGGAGGGACAGACACAGTGGCTCATGCCTGTAATCCCAGCACGTTGGGAGGCCGAGGCGGGAGAATCACCTGAGGTCAGGAGTTCGAGATCAGCCTGGCTAACATGGCAAAGCCCTGTCTTTACAAAAATATAAAAAGTAGCCAGGTGTGGTGGTGGGTGCCTGTAATCCCAGCTACTTGGGTGGCTGAGGCAGCTGAATCACTTGAACCTGGAAGGCAGAGGTTGCAGTGAGCTGAGATCACACCACTGCCCTCCAGCTTGGGCAACAAAGTGAGACTGTGTCTGGAAAAAAAAAAAAAAAAAAAAAAGACAGACAAAAGGGAAACTCTCACTTATTAAGTGGCTACTAAGTATTGCTGTTTCAACACATTATCTCTTCTACTCCTTCCAGCTATCCAGTAGTTTACAGATGAGAAAAACTAGGTTCAGAGAGGTCTAGTAACTTACCCAAAGTCACACAGTTAATATCCTACACAACTAGCACTGAGCCCTGCTTGCCTGCCTCAGAAGCCCAAACACCACATCACCATGTGGGGGAGCTGAAAGGCCGGCCCCTATGGGAGTGAGGCAGAGGCCTTCCCATCTGACTCACGCTATGGGTGTGAGAACTCCCGTCTCCATTTTCAGACTCATGCTGTACCCTTCTTTTCCCAGGCCACCTCACAGCACAGCAAATGCAAATTAAAAATATGAATATCGACATCAAAATAGTAACCAAAGTTGGAATTTCTGTGATTGAGGCTGCAGCGTATTTTAATGTGTCGGGAGACAGGGAGCTGACAGTTGTGTGATAAGGTGTGAAAGCATCTGTTCTACAAGAGTCTACCTAACTCTCCCTGCCCCACGCACACTTACTCACTCCCTTCAATGGGAACTGTTTGGCCAGAAATTCAAGCCTCTGTGAAACCAACTGTGAATTTGCTCCTTTCAATCACAGAGACTCTAAATCAACAAGCTCAATTTGTCTTTTAAAGATCAAAGATTTGTAATCCCAGCACTTTGAGAGGCCTAGGAGGGAGGATCACTTGAGCCCAGGAGTGTGAGACCAGTATGGGCAACAGAGCAAAACTCTGTCTCTAAAAAAAAATTAGCCAGGCATGGTAGTGCATGCCTGTCATCCTAGCTACTCTGGAGGTTGAGGCAGGAGGATCCCTTGAGCTTGGGAGCTCAAGGCTGCAGTGACTGCACCAGACAGAGTAAGACCCTGTTTCAAAAAAAGAAAAAAAGAAAATAAAAACACAAAAGATTCAGAAACTTTACAAAGTGCTGTGAAATGGGCCCATTTGGCTAAATCATTTTGATATTGAAGAAAAAGAAAAATTTCAGGGGTTCCTCAGTAGGCAGAAGAAGGCATCCCTATGTGAATATCTTAACGCTGCCTGCAGGTGAGGAGAAATGTATTTGCACCACTGCTTTTAAAGCAGGGCATTCTCGTGCCAGCCCTGCCTGGTGCTGCAGTGGAATGCAATTTGTTGACAGTCACGAGCCCATCCAGGGGGCATTCTTCTGCAGGGAGACACTCCAGATGAAAGCACTACATTCTTCCTTAGAAAGCGATGGCTGGGTAGCATCTTTGCCATTTCTTCTTTTTCCTAATTTCGAGCAAGTCACACTTCAAAGGAGGCCAAGCTATGGAAGAACCTGACCACCTCGCTCCGTTTATCTAGAGAAAAATGTTATCCATCCTTCTTTTTTTGTTGTTGGGTTGAAGCAGAGCAGGTATGGAATAAAGCCACACCATCGGATCTATTAACAATTATTTGCCAATGGTCACACAGATATCCTGAAAGCTCTGATTTCAGATGCTTTGAAAATGTGCAGCACAAATGAACAAGGGATGGAGAAGGGACCCAGCTCAGTCATATTAGAGATGGGCCCTCCACACACCATGGTGACCTCTCCACAGGTCGGCCCCACATTTTCTATTTGCAATTCAAACCCAAGGCGAGGGTGAAGAGGGCAAGCTTGGGTTCTTGATTATATCTGCGAGGTCACCATTGCTATGCAGAGTTAGAGGAGGCCAGGTGGCAACCCAGCACATTTGAAAATTGGATCTTTGTTGGGAATTGCCTCGATTTCGTGGCAGAAACCAAACTTGAGATGTCTGTATTAGAGGCATCTGGGGTACATTCACGAGGTACACTCGTTGCCTGATGAAGGGGAGGGGGCAGCAGGGAGAAGGACAAAAACAGCCAAGGAAATATTTTCTACTGCTATGTGAGGTCAGGTGCAGCCAAATCCTAAATTAGTTCAAGAAAAGGCGCTGGAGAGTGCTGGAGCCCCAAGTCCCGTAGATGCGAGCAATGCTAGAGTTTCAATTACAAAATAGCTCTCTTCCAAGAACAACTGCAAAATATCAAGTCTGTAGAAATCTGTACGACCGAAGGGGGGAAAAGTGAAAATTGAAAAGGGTGCACTAATAGATCTGTCAACAGTCCGATGGTGACAAGCCACATTTCTATAAAATGCCTTCACCATTTGTGTCACCTGAAATGTACTGACACTCTCTATAGAACATTATCTCCTGAAGCTATTCTTGAAAAGACTGGCAGGGGGAAGGGAAGGGGAGGGAGACATCTGCTTTAGACACTATCAAGGAACGGAAGGGAAGATAGCGTGGAAGGAAAGTGATCTAGATTGTTTAAACAAACCTTTGAAGAACCACGTTTAAAAATCTGAGCTTAACTGGTTATTTGCAGAAACGTTACATATCATAAGAAGGGGATTTTCCAAAGCCAGAGGCTTGTACATACAAGTAGGGAGGTAAGGTGATGTCTGTAGCTTAATGGTCTGGAGAGAGGGCAATTGACCAATGAGGGCTCCTGGGGCCTCTGCCTGAGGAGGGACCCCTTTCTTTGCTTACTTCAGGGGATATTCTAATACCAACCAGAACCTACGATCCAGGCATCAAGGAGGGAAAACTCACTGCTCCCTGCCACTCCGTTTTATATCTGCAATCCAATCAGCTACATGCAACTGGGATGGGAGATAAAAAGCTATATTTAGGGACTTAAATAATATCCAAGTAAAGAATGCCACCTGCCAGTCTCTGGCAGGGTGCAAACAGACTACAGTTTAAGGTCTATCTGGATTTACATTACAGAGCTTTTATTTCAGGATGTGAATCTCAGCTGCTAAAAATCCACTCTCAGCTGAAACTAAGAATTTAAATGCTTAGTCAGAGCAAATTATTTTCCAATTAAAAGAAAGGAATCAATTCCTTCGACCCTTTCAAGTTAATTAGTGGTCCTTACTGACTTCAGAAAATTAAAACTGCTTTCAATTTTTTAAAAACTGCAGAGATAGACAAAGGCCCTTATTAGAGTGGTGCGTTTGGGGGCACAGGGATAATGAAGTAGGGGATCCCAAACATCTTTTGGAAAACAAAACACTTGTTTGAGGAAGGCAAGTGTGCATGCGGTAGTGGTAAGAACGCACAGCTGCCACAAGGCGACGGAGGTGGAATCCAAGCCCGACTCTGCTAGGCTCAGGGTGGCCTTCGGCAATGACTTCACCTCTGAACTGCAGTCTGTTTACTCGTGAAATGGGAACAAGACTCCATAGGGCTGTTCTGAGAACTAAGTGTGAAAGCTTCTAGCCTGGACCACCCTTAACAGGAGCTTAAAGAAGGGTGGCAACAGTCATAACGATGATGGCATTCATAATCATATTAAAAAGCCTCTTGTTACAGTCACCTCACTGTCTTAAGTCTCGAAATTCAGGCTGGAGGCATAAAAAGGAATGACTTAATGGCATTCGCAGCAACCTGGATGGGATCGGAGACGCTTATTCTCAGTGAAGTAACTCAAGAATGGAAAACCAAACACTGTATGTTCTTAGTAACAGTGGGAGCTAAGCTATGAGAATGCAAAGGCATAAGAATGACGCAACAGACTTTGGGGACTCAGGGGGAAAGGCTGGGAAGCAGGTGAGGGATGAAAGACTACAAATTGGGTTCATTGTATACTGCTCAGGTGATAGGTGCACCAGAATCTCACAAATCATCACTAAAGAACTTACTCATGTAACCAAACACCATCTGTTCCCCCAAAAGCTTACAGAAATAAAAACATTAAAATAAAATAAAATATAAAAAAGTCAGATTAAAGAAAACAGAGATTCAGGCTGGGGAAATCTTAGCCAGGACATAGTCAGGATGATATCCCAGTTTTACTGGTGGCCGGTGAAGATAATCAGAGCCCTCTCCTTCCCACTCAGAGTCTCAGCAGTGCCCACTGGGTTCTCCTCACTTAGTCCCCCAGGGCAAGGTAAGCCCATGGCATTCTGCTCAGCCCCACCCCCTATGCCGTGTCTGCATGGTGGCCACGTGTGTGCTGGACCATGGTAATCATTCCCTGGAGATGCTTCTTGGTTTTGGTTACCACTGGCCCTCGGGCAGATGTCGGCCACAGGGGGTGGGCAGGTGCCAGATGGCGATGCCAAGCCAATTTCTACAGACGCCTGTGAACCCAGGCCTGGTGGGGTGGGCAAGGGACAGCCCGACAGTGGTAGCTCTGAACTTGCTTGCCTTTGTGGGTTTAAGCCAGAGTCTTAATGTTATTTGAAGACAGTTTTTTGTCTGTGAATATTTATAACAGTGTGAAAACTCCCGGACAGCTGGTAATGCATTTTGAAGTGTGTTAACAACACTGTATCAAACAGCCCTCTATTGATCCCATCATACTTTTTTGTGGCCATGCATTTCATACATGGTGCTTATACATTTTGAATAAGAACTTCAAGTACCTTTTGCTTCAAGCGGTTTTTCACCTCTTTTATTCCCATTTTTGCATGATCTTTTGCCTGCATGAAAAATTAATTTAAGTTAAGATTCCCTTTCTGTTTCCAGCAGGGACTGTGCTTGATTTCAGTCCGTCGAGAATCACCTTCTCTGATTACTAGAAAAAGGAAGGAAAAATGGGATCATCAAGTCGAAAACATAATGGCTATGAAAACAAATACAACGGTAAAAGGTTAAAAAAAAAGAACCCTTAAAGAGGCTGCAGAGATTTTATTTTCTGCATTTTGATGGCACAGATTTTTTTTTCTTTTCCTTCCAAAGCCCTTCTTCTGCTCTCTATAATTATTTATCTCGGCAGCCTGGTGACAGCTACTAGTAAGAGTACAGCAGCCGCGTTTCTGGCTGCAAGATTCAGAATATCCATTCTATGTCACCAGTGCAAGGCCCCAGGGCCAATTTTCTGCCCAGGCTGAATGGCCGGAACAGACACGTTGCTGGGTTTCTACCATGTCATTTCCTAAACCTCATTTTGGCAGATACCCTGGCTTTGATTTCAGGTCATGTTAGACCTGTGTGGTTCTGCTGGCAGCCACCAACCCTGCTAAAATAACGACAGTTTAAGCACAGAGAGGACTAACAAAATTAAAAATGGAAATAAAGTAGAACCACCCCACTTCAGTGGCTCACGGTCAAATTAGCAAGGAAGAGAAGTCATAAGAAAAAATACTTGATGCTTGTGAAAGATGGAGTGCCAGGAACAGATGTGCTCTCCTATTTCCACTCGGCTGTGGACACGAGTCTTACAAGCAATGCATTACCTATAGGGCAGTGATCAAAGAGATGATGAAGAATTTGGGACAAAAATTAAGCGGTGTATCCCACCACGAACACTCTTTAGTCACCCGCAAAGGAGCTGCTTTATTTTGACCTAATATGGGGGATGCCTGCAGGAAGGCTTTGCCAGACACCAGATAGACCATGCTTCCAGGTCTCAGAAACAGAGGCAGGGTGCAGCCTGCATTGCAGCCACCTAGTCTACATTTTAAAAGCTAAAACCAGTAGCCTCCCATTTCTCTACTGTGGCAAATGTGAGCAGCAACACAATACATTAAAAACGTCACTGAACTGGTTATAAAATCTGCTAAATAATTTGGAGAACACTGAGACCTTTAGGAAAGAGCTCAGCAGCCTGAGTCATCTCTGCAACAGAAGACCAGGTACACTTGAGTCTCATCGCTTGGCTGGATGCAGCAGCTCATGCTGGTAACTGCAGCACTTTGGGAGGCCAAGGCAAGAGGACTGCTTGAGTCTAGAAGTTCAAGACCAGCCTGGGTAACATAGTGAAAGCTGTCTCTACCAAAAAAAAAAAAAGAAGCCAGGCATGGTGGTGCACACCTGTAGTTATAGTTACTCGGGAGGCTGAGGTGGGAAGACTGCTTGAGCCTTGATGGTCAAGGCCGCAGTGATCTGTGATCATGCTATTACTCTCCAGCCTAGGCAACAGAGCAAGACCCTGTCTCAAAAATAAGTAAATAAAGAGTGTCATTATGCTAAGGGACTGATTTGTTTGGCTCCTGAGAGCAAGACCAGTACTTACAAACTTGTAGACAGTCTTCATGGCCGGGTTTGCTTTTGTCTTTACGGTATTCAGAATTGCTCCACTTCCTTTCTATAATAAAAATGTCAATTAGCAATTTGGGCTGATGACAGAGTCATCTAACACCAACAAAGACTGCTTCTCTTCAATCAAGTTAAGCAACATTTCAAAGGTATGTAAATTCACATCAAGAAACAGGCCTGGATGATAACTGGTCCAGCCAGTTAGTGATGGTCATGGCGGAGCAGCTCTGGGTGGGTGTGTGTGGGCTGGGGCTGTGGAGTGTGATTCCTGGCAGAGGGGGACTCTGGGCTCCATGTTCTGCTTGGTACCTGTTCCCTGACTGGAGGGAAGTGGATCACAGGCTGCCTAAGGCAAGGGCTTCCCTATGGGCATGTGTGGCTGTTCAAGAAATTCTAGTTACCACGGATGACACTCAGGTAAGTTTAATAACTGTGGACTCCACAGCTGACACCAAGCCGGGGCAGAAAGTGGGGCCCTGATCAGCCAGGATCGTTGGAAAACACACTGCCCTCACCGTGCAACTTCCTTTTCTTGCCTTGGTTTTCTGTGTTGTTTTTTTTTAAATCTCTCTGGTAGGCTGCCTTCCTTAACATCTAAATCTTGAGAAAAGGAAAGAATGAATAGCCACAAATGTTCACCATGGCTTTAGTTGAATCCAACACAGCAATTTCCTGCCCACTTTCTTTAGGAGAAAAAGTGGGAGAAAGGAGGAGGGAAGGCCTTCCCGCTCCCAAAGGAGGCAGTGGAAGGACCTGAAGTACACAGGGGATGTTTTCATAGCTGTCTGTGAATCCATTTCTCCGTCTCATCCCTGCAGACACATCGCGAGGGTTCTGAAGGCACTAGGCCAAGGGAGGCCTGGTCTCTGCCTTCTAAAACCTCCAGTTGGAGAGGCAAGACAGCGCAGTAAATAACCAACAGCAGGTGATGGAGGCTGCAGTGGCTGTGTGCAGAGGGAGCGTGGAGACCTGGGAGATCAGGGAAGGCCTTGGAGGATGAGACATTTGACCTGGTCCATGAAGGATAAATAGAAGTTGATGTAGGAGACGGGAGGAGAACATTTTAGGGACAGGAAATAGCACATAAAAAAAGTGCAGAAGCTGAAAAGCCATGGTGTATGCTGTGACAAGTGGCTACTGTACTGTACCGTGATACACTCCCATGACTATATCATGAGAAAAGCAGTAAGCGAGGCTGGGAATCCAGATAGGGCCAGCTCATGAAGGGCCTGGAATGCCAGGCTAAGGGGTCTACAGTATGGAGCGTTTTACATCAAATTCATCACAGAATCAGGTCTGTGGTTGTTTAAAAAAACTGATTCGGATGGAAAGAGGCTGGAACCAGTGGGTACCTAAGAGAATAAGACATAGTAATGTAATTATTGGCCTTAACTTTTAGCACAATTTTTGGTAACTGCCCACATTAGACATTTTGAGCTTTAATTAAAAACATTACAATTTGACCTAGAAAGCATTCTACGTTGTAGGACAATAGGAAATTTTCACCCACTCATTTATTCCATACTGCTTTCCAAAATTACTCAGTATCCCATTTAAATGGTCCTTTGGAGTATTGAAACTCCCTTTATCAATCAATCAACAAGTCCTTATTACTCCTCTCTGATTTGCCAAGTGCTGTATTTAGCCATACAAGAGGAACAAAGGAAGTCTTTCATGGAGGAATTGCTTACTCTCCGCCAACTGCAGCCACTTCCAAGGGACGCGCCTGGCAGCAGTGCGCTGGCGCATAAGCAGGAGGGGACACTTATCACTTAATGCTGGCGCTGCCTGCGACGTGCCCGCCTCTCCAGCAAGACAGGGAGCTCCCCCAGGGAGGGCCTGTCCCCTGCTGCCTGCGGTATCCCCAGTATGCAGCATGGTGCCTGGCACACAGTAGGCCTTCAGGACACCTCAATTACAAGCTGATGGAAGGGAAAGGCAAGATTTCAAATTCTTTAGAGGCTTCAGAAGCCCTACACGTCTGGCTCCTGACATAACAAGACACTGTTCACAACGACAGTCAACCTCCCAGTGACGGGTTCTCCATCTTCCCAGGAGAAGAGGTTACACAGCAGCAAGGGGGATGCATGTTTGGTTTGCCCGTGATCAGGACAATTGTTCTGGCCCTAGAAGGAGACCCCCCGCTAAATGCTCTAAGACAACAACATTCCATTCAGCTTTCCTTGGCTGGCTTCCTGCAGAGGAGGAAGCCTTTCATGCCTTTTTCTGCCCCCACCAAGTGATGGCTTTGGACAGTCCCATCCTTCTAGTGTCCATCTGGCATGAGAGGAACCTAGCTTTACAAAGAAAGGCATCTCCAGCAGCGGGAATGGAGTGCTGTGGCTGCACAGGGAAGCGGAAGGCTGCCAGGAAGCTAAGGAGGGGGTCCAGGGAGCTCAGAACTGGGTGCACTTACCCGGACAGTGGAGAGCCACTGATGGTACAGTTTGTCACTGCCTGGGAAAAGAGAAGTCAGAGAAGCTGTTACTTCAAGAGGTGATTTGCCCTCGGGAGGTCTTGAAATTGCTTTTTTTTTTTTTTGACATGGAGTCTTATTCTGTCACCCAGAATGGAGTGGAGTGGCATGATCTCAGCTACTGGGTTCAAGCAATTCTCCTGCCTCAGTCTCCTGAATTACAGGTACCCGCCACCTTACCTGGCTGCTTTTTCTATTTTTAGTAGAGACAGGGTTTCATCATGTTGGCCGGGCTGGTCTTGAACTCCTGACCTCAGGCGATCCGCCTGCCTCAGCCTACCAAAGTGCTGGGATTACAGGCGTGAGCCACCACGACCGGCCAAAATTGCTTTCAGCATTCAGGTCTTGGAGAATCCTGTGGAGGGTCCCATGTCCTGTTCTTAAAGGAGGCGGCAACGAGTCACTGCCGTAGTTTCCTTCTCCAACAGAGCTGGTCATGCAGCGCCCTGACTGCAAGCCCTCAGCAGCTGCCCCACTGCTTGCTGGCTGGACGTCAGGCTCCGAAGCAGCCCTGCCACTCTCCTCCAGTCGTGCCTCACGGCCTCTCCATCCTGTGCTGCTGTGGCGCTACACTGCCTTATGTCCCACCATGGGAAACTACTCATGGGCCCTTAAGCCAGCATCCTTGCAGGCCTCCAGGCCCTTGCAAATGCCGCTCCCTCGCCTCGTCACCATACCCTACTCTCTCTGCTTAGTAAACCCGACAGCCTGTTCAGATGTGATGTCCTTTGAACAGCCCTCTGGAATAGTTAACAGCACTGAGACATCCATATTCTGGGAAGTGCTGTGAGGGGCACCAGAGCAGGAACCCTCAGAGCTGTGTGTCCCATTGAAAGGACCCTGCTGGACACATGTTGAACCCTCGGAGAGTGAGAGGGAAAGAAAACAGAGGCGTTGTTGGTGAACTCTATTCATTTTAAATGGTGGGTCCTAACCCAGTGAATAAGTGAACTTGGTTTAGCAACACCTAAAGCCTGTCTTCTCAGAACTCACAGGCAAGTGTGAGAACACAACCCCAGCCCAGCCTCCTTTGTCAAGCCCTCACATTACGCAGTGAGGATTAACACAGCCCTATTCTAACTGCACCCAAATCTGTTTCTACTCCTTTTCCTGCATTGATTTAATTTTTGCTTGTCTTTAGTTATGCATTTCTCTCTCCTACCTGACTAACACTATTTGAGGGCAGAACTGGGTCCTTCGTTTGTTCTCCATGGGGCTCTGGACATGGCAGGTGTTCAGGAAATGATTATCAATGACTCGCTATTGCTGTTCCTAGACTCCATGGTGGTTTTCTTAACTACGTTCTCCAAGCAGCACAGGCTGGGAGGACCTGCAACATTTACAAGCGGATACTGTGTCTTGCTCTGTGAGCTTACAAATCACAGTAGTCCAGACCAGACACATACACAGCAATAAGGGGGCCAGCAGCATGGGTGTTATTTTGCTTCTGGTTTTGCCTTCGTTGCCAAAGACTGAGGTGATAGGATTTAGAAGGAAGGTCATATTGGGATTCAAGAGTCAGACTCAGCCACCAACACCTCTCTGGGCCTCAGATGCCTCCTCTGAAAAATGAGAAAATAAGCCCTTCAGTTCTTCAGATCTACAGAGACCAGGCACTCAGCAGTAATTTGTCATATTTTAAAGAATCAGGGCCAGGTGCGGTGGTTCACGCCTATGATCTCAGCACTTTGGGAGGCTGAGGCAGGTGGATCATTTGAGGTCAGGAGTTTGAGACCAGCCTGGCCAACATGGTGAAACCTTCTGTCTACTAAAAATACAAAAATTAGCAGGGCATGGTGACACGTGCCTGTAATCCCAGCTTCTCAGGAGGCTGAGGCAGGAGAATCGCTTGAACCTGGAGGCAGAGGTTGCGGCCGTGAGCCATGATCATGCCACGCACTCCAGCCTGGACAACAGAGCAAGACTCTCTCTCAAGAAAAAACAGAGAAAAGAAACACTTATTGCACACAGCCCTCATGCCAGGGACTGTCCTGGATGACTGCACAAACCTTTCCTCATGCATTCTGATTTAATCTCAACAAGAATCCTGTGAGGTGGGACATGGTACTCTCAGGGCATGGATAGGAACTTTAGCTAAAGGAGGGGCAATGACTCACCCAGGGTCTTGCAGCTAGTGAGGAGGCAGAGCCCTGACTTGAATCCAAGCCTCCTAACTGAATACTGTGTGTGCTTCCCAGTGGACCACACGGGGCACTACTTTAACTGGACTTTGTCTACGCAGGGGAAGCATCTGACCCTAGGCTGGGGGATTTCACATGGGCCAGTATACACTTTATCAGAAAAAGAAGAGGAATTCTTCAAACATTTCAAAGCCACGCTGAAATCTCTCTTCCTAAGCCCCAATAAAGGAAAAGCAAGTCATCGCCACTCCTTGTCAAACATACCCTAAACGATAGCAGCCTGCAGCCCCAAAAGGAAAATGAGATGCTTCTCACCAGCGTACTCGCCCATGTTGATTTCCTCTTCAAAAACATCACTGAAACCTTCGCCGGAATTGAGAAGGTCTAATCGACCATCAATAAACTATAGAAAGAAAGAACAAAAGCACAACAGCTCGTACAAAGAAAAGGGGGAAAAGCATTCAGCGGGGCACCTTACTGTATCCAAGGCAGGAAAGGTCCTTTGCAACGGAGTTTTTACAAAGTGAGGTTCAATAAGAAAGTTACTTTCTAAAAAGCTGGCTACATGTTTATGATAGCTTGGAAAACCACATGGCAGATTTGCAAAGGGTCTGTCTGGTCAGTGACTGCCCTCTTCACCCAATCCCCCTCCCCTGAGCCTCTTTCGCCTGGGGCCTGAGTCCCATCCATGCCTGTGGCCTCAGTGCTCAGACGAGACAGCTGTAGAAATAAATCCTCACTAGGGAGCCAGACCCAGGCCAGACCAGGGAGGGTGGCACCTGCTTGAAGAGCTGCAGCTGCGTGGCGTTCTGCAGGAACTGCCTCATGGCTCCAGAGCGGTAGTGGGACACGAAGGCTTCCTCACAGAAAGTGATCGGCTCCTCCTGGGAAGTGCAGAGGGGAGAGGAGGGTCAGAGGCACGGTGTGAGAGCCGCCAGTTCTTAAATTCCCATATGCAGAGCTTCCCCATCTGCTAATGTTTTTTCTTTTTGTTTTGGAGATGGAGTCTCACTCTGTCACCCAGGCTGGAGTGCAGTGGTGCTATCTCAGCTCAGTGCAATCTCTGCCTCCGGGGTTTAAGCCATTCTCTTGCCTCAGCCTCCTGGGTAGCTGGGATTACAGGTGCCCACCACCACGAGAGGCTAATTTTTGTAGTTTTAGTAGAGACAGGATTTTACCATGTTGGTCAGGCTGGTCTCGAACTCCTGAGCTCAAGTGATCCACCTACCTTGGCCTCCCAAAGTGCTGGGATTACATGTGTGAGCCACCGTGCCTCACACATTAGAAAAATTAGAAAAATCTGCTAATTTTTCTAACCCTCATTAGTGAAGTAGCTATTATCAAGGAATTTGTTTTCCTTCATGGATGAGGAAGCTGTTTCAGAGAGGAAGAGTCACCCCGCAAAGTTACAGAGAGGGTGGGAGGCAGAGCAGGAACCAACAGATTCTGCTTCCCACCTCCTCTTCCATACCCCGAGGGCTATTTAGGGGAACATGCGCTCCAATGTGAAGATGTCCAAACTTTTCACTTTTAGCAGTGGAATCCTTTATTCAGACAGGATTTTATGCAGAAGCAGCCACTAGCCCTAGGACCTGCTAGGCCAGGCGCGGTGGCTCACGCCGGTAATCCCAGCACTTTGGGAGGCTGAGGTCGGAAGATCACCTGAGGTCAGAAGTTTGAGACCAGCCTGGCCAACATGGTGAAACCCTGCCTCTGCCTCTATTAAAAATACAAAAATGTCCCGAGTATGTTGGCAGGTGACTGTAATCCCAGCTACTTGGGAGGCTGAGGAAGGAGAATTGCTTGAACCTGGGAGGCAGAGGTTGCAGTGAACTGAGATGGCATCACCGCACTCCAGCCTGGGAAACTGAGTGCGACTCCATTTAAAAAAAAAAAAAAGGATTTTATACAGAAGGAGCCCTGTTACCTGAGCTCCGCAATGCACAGCTTGGCTGCTGTGGGGGACCTGGGGTAGAGCAGGGGAGGTGGCTGGGCTCTCCAGGCTTGGCCACCTTCTCATCCCCCCACATCCCAGGCATCTTTGCGTACCTAGGTCACTGGCTGTGGGACATACTTTGAAAACCATTTACACGGTGATCTTAACCAATAGTAACCTGAAATTTAAAAATAATTATTTTAAAGAATAGGGATGATCAAAAATAAAATATACTATCTAATCGATTTTGTGCTTATGCTGTTTGATAAGCAAGTTTGCTTTTACCAAACCATATGAGTCAAAAAGATATCCTGAGTTAAAAAAAAAATCCTATCCGTATAGAGTTAACACCTTAATCTTTCTTTGAACACATTTGGAGTGCTTAACTACACAGACAAGCCTTTAATTTCAGCGGTGTATTCTCAATTCTGAAAGATCAGACTTTCATATCTTGAGCTGAATTAAGGGTAACACCCCACCCCCCCAGCCTCGGTAGCAAACACAGAGATGTTTGAAGCTCCGCTTTTATCCTATTTTAATGAGTTGCGTGAGTGTTAAATTTACTGTCGAGCTTCCGTAAGTTCTAAGAGTTCCTCCTGCTTAAATCTAGCCAATATTAACTCAGGAACCGGGCAGCCTTATTGCACAAGGGCTGTGAGGATGACCCAAAAATATTAGGGTAAGGAGAACACTTATTTTTATACAGTTACACCCTACCTAATTTTACAAAGGATCTGAGGCAGCTTATATGAGCATCTAAAGCAACAAAGAAAAACATCAGGGCTGCAAAATACATAGATATATAAAAAGTATTTATTTGGGAAAAAAAATATGGGTATGTAGGTCCTATGTGGTTTCTAAGTTAAGTTACAAAATTAGCTCTGAGCTTCCTGGCTGCTAGAGCAAGAAGGAAAACAACACAAACTTTACTTTGTGTACAAGAAAAAAAAAACCAGTAGTTCCTTCGGAAAAATAGCTTTATGTGCCATTTATTACTTTGGCATGGATTTACATCTTCCTTGCTCAACAGCTGAGAAACCAGCTAGTGATAAGTAACAGAAGCCCAGCTAGAATTTTACCCGTGGTTGGAAGTTTTGGTCTCACTCTTGGGACCACAGCAGGGGAAGTAATTCTGTCTCCAGGTGATCTTATCCATGCACGTAGCATCACTCACACACTGATGACTCCTGACAAATCCTGGCAGCTCAGACACCTTTCCGAAGCTCTAGACCCATCATCTCAACCTCCACCTGATGATCTGCTGGTGTCTCAAGCTCAAAATAGCCCCAAACTTCCAATTACTATCCCATCAAGACTGCACCCCAAATCTATTTTTGTTTTTTTCTTAGCTGTCCATTATCCACGGTTACATGCAGTGGACCTATCAAACTTCCCAAGTCCTTCCTCTTTTATGTGTGAAGCATCTCACGCTCACCCCCTGCTCTCCAGTCCACTCCTCTGGCATAGGCCCGGACAGGCGCAAACCACAGCAGAGGTTTCACGCCTCATCCCTGCCCTGTTTCATCCCTCCCATTCTCCTCCAGCTCTTCCGGCTAGAGTGCTTTCTAAAACGCAAATCAGACCATGTCACTATCCTACTCAGGAACTCTGCACAGATGTTACCTTTGTGTGAATATTTGACTAATATTAGTCTCTTTTTCCCACTAGACTACCCGCTCCACGCAGGCCAGAATGGTGTCTGTTTTGTTCAACGTTGTGCACCTAGCAACATGTGTGGCACACACAAGGGCCTGATATGGGTAAGGAAAGGAAAAGTTCCTTAACCAGCAAACGCACGCCGCCAAAGCTGAGCCTGGCTTGCTTTCCTAGAGTCCTTCTGTGTCACTTTGCCTCTGGTCTTCCGCATACCTCATGCTCCAAACACATCCTGGGATCACACGCCACATCCTTCCTTCCCCAACTTCTTCCTTGCTTTTGCCATTCTATTCCTTCTGCTTGGCCCATCCTCCTGACACACGCAGGCCTCTGTGGCAGTCACTCATCCCTGCTCGCTGCTTCCACGGTGCCACATGCACTCCTGGGTTCTGGGGCAGTTTTCGCTGGTATCCCCTCTCACCAGGAGCTTGAGGGGCCAGAGCCTGAACCCATCGCTATGCTCCCTGGGCAGACCCCGACCCCTAATTAGAAGCTCAGGGATGTTGGTTAAAGAACCACGAAATGAGCTGAACCCTGCTTCCAGCCACAGGAGCCTTGTGGTCTCAGTGAGTCTCTGACACTACTTGGCCTGATGCTAAAGAGATAGAGCACGATGCCATGTGAGTGCCACGATGCACGGGGAGTTGAGCTGCTCTGAGGAAATGCTCACTGATGTTGTTGGCATCCACTCCTGGAGCTTTGGCCCAGGGTTGCCAGGAAGAAGTCTGCTGAGGGCCCTATTTATTCAAGGGAGTTTGCGACCAGATTTGTAGAGGAGGGTAGTCCGAGGCAGAATTTAGCTGCAAGAGAGGAGAAAGAATCTCACCTTTGGGGAGACATGAACATTTTTGGCCTGCTGTCTACTCACGGGAGGTGATATCTCCTTGCACCAGATGTCTGTGCCATAAAAACGCAACAGGACATGGGCATGGATGGGAAAGATTCAGGGAACATGAGACAAGGGGCTTTTTCCGAAAAGACCTTAACAGCAACAGCATCAGATGTGTGAATAAGACATGGGAAGAAAGACTACCACAGTGTAGTGTTACCAGGATGGGGTAGGGGGGAGTGTCCACAGGAGTCCAAAGAGGAAAACGTTAACCCTCCCAGGGCGGCAGGTCAGAAACCATGGTAAGTGGACACTTTGGCTGGGCCTGGAAGGGTGAATAGGAGTTAGGTGAGCAAAATGTCTGTTCAGGGCCCAATTCTCCTATCTTAATCCTGCTGCAAGGGAGTGATGCTATCACCCAGAACCACGCATAAAGGTCTAAACGGCACCAGGCACAGAAGGCTCTTTTCCCTGGAGCAACTCGCCTTGTCAGACAAAGGCAATAATTATGGTTTAACTCTGTGTGAGACACAGTGAAATGCACTTCACAACTCTTTTTAACATTCTGGAAATTTTCATGAAGTTACATTTTCATAAAATTACACTCAAATTTTACAGAGGAATAAATGAGGTAAAGACATCTGCCCAGGTGACAGGGTTCAGATGTGGCAGAGTCAGGAGTAAAAGCTGGTGGCTCCCAGGCCCAGGTGTGCAGCATGCATGTGGCTTCTCCCTGTGGCCTCAGTCCTAACTGCTTGCCCTCAGACCTCTCTGGACAGGAGAGTTCTCTTTAAAACTGGAACCCTGGCCAGGCGCGGTGGCTCATGCCTATAATCCCAGCACTTTGGGAAGCCGAGGCGAGCGGATTACCTGAGGTCAGGAGTTTGAGACCACCTTGACCAACATGGAGAAACCTGTCTCTACTAAAAATACAAAAATTAGCCATGCATGGTGGCACACTCCTGTAACCCAGCTACTCGGGAGGCTGAGGCAGGAGAATCGCTTGAACCTGGGAGGTGGAGGTTGCAGTGAGCCGAGATCGTGCCACTGCACTGCAGCCTGGGCAACAAGAGCGAAACTCCATCACAAAAAATAAATAAAATAAAATAAAATGGGAACCCTTTAGGTTCTCATAGACACAGAAAGCACCAGCCCTTCAGAGACAGACAGCTCATGGGAGTCAAGAAGCCACTGTGAAGACTCTTTCTGCCATAGGCCCAAGGCGAGATGCCGAGCCACTCCCAGCAGCTTGTCCACCTGTGCCCTGCAGTGGAAATGGCGGCCCCCACTCCACTGTGCATGGAGAAGAGTAAGGCAAGGTGTCTCGTTATTCTCCCCTTTGTAAGAAGGGCTGATTTAGCTCTCCAAGAGGCTGATTAAGCCCTTTGTGTTAGGTGACACTCTAGGCGCTGGGGCTAGTGGCTGATAGCAATGTTAATTCAGGGAATTCAGGCCGTGAGTGT